TGAAGGAAGGAACTGGTTTTACCTTTTTATACTATTTCTTTTCCATATTGGCCGAATCAAGCCGATTTTTGGTTTCCCATAAATTTCCCATTGTCCTTAGGATGTCAAGGGCCGGACACCCAGCCCATTAAACAAATTTCATAACTTACCATTTTTTTTAAAAAAAAACCATATGACCATAATCTGCCGTAACCATTAACAAATCACCCCAAATACCCAAGTTCCCAAAAGATTTTTTTGACAAAAACGTTTTAATCTTTGAGTTAAATTTTTTTTTTAATTATATCCCTACGTGTCAAAATATTTTATTTATAATTTACGATTCAAAAGAATAACTTCATTTTTATTTTTTTTGGATATTTACAGGTAAAGAATCACTTTTATTAAATTTAACTAAACTTGCTCTAGGAAGGTATGTAATGACGAAAAGAACTATGAGAAGAAAACAAAGATAATTCTCTTTTAGGTTTCTTCCAAACATACCAAACTAAAAAAGAAAGTACGAATTTTGAAGCACGATATCATAAATGAATTAAATAAAATTTTAGAACCAAATTAAAAATTTTGAAGCTATCTTCTAGCTAGTAACTCTGAAAATGAATTAAATTTCAAAAATCAATTAGTTAAAAATTAAAACTCATAATTATAATTTTTGCTTCAGTTCATTTGACTACATATGGATTAAGATTCAAAAGACCTGAATTTCTTGTAATTTTAAAACCTTTTTCTAGAAATAATAAAGATAAACTCAAATTTTAGAATATAAATTCAAATTGTCATTTATGTTTTACTTTAATTGAAAGTGAAATAAAGTTAAAATCAACAAATTAAACATTTTGATAATATTGATACCATTTTTTAAATAATACTGAAAGTGAATTGAAATTCAAAAAAAGTTATAAGTGAACTTTATGCTTTATGTTTTAGCTCATTTAAGTAAAATTAAATTGATTTTTTTTTTGAAACAAATATATATATATATATATATATATATATATATATATATATATATATATATATTAGTTTATTCAGGTTGTTTTTTACCGAACGTCTTATTTTTATTGTTCTGAATTTGAGTCATTTTCAGTATTACTAGAACGGCATCAAATTATAACAAAATTATATTTTCAATTGGAAAAGTTGCATCCTAGGGAAAGACATCAATCATCATTCGAAAAGTTTTATACTATAATTTAAGTAAAGTTTTTCTTTTTTGTCGATATAATATTCTTCTATCTTTTTTCGGCATATACAAAGGCAACTGAGTCGTAATATATTGTTACAGATGCTGGAATATTATTTTCAGGTAGTTATGTTTGTACCACTGATAAAGAAAAATTTGCAAGTGACAATTATACTTTATGTTTTAGTTCATCTAAGTAAAATAAAATTAAAATTTTTTATTGACTTCGAAACATTTTCCTGTAATATACGAAAATAAATTCAAAATAAAATATATTTCAGTTTATTCAGGTTACCTTTACCAAACTTCTTATTTTTATTGTTTTGAATTTTTATTTGTTTTCACCATTACTAGAATGGCATCAACCATAACAAAGTTGTTGTGTAGTTAGAGTTTTTGAAAACTGACCAAATGATTAGTCAATAAATCGATTAAGATATGAAAAGTTAATACTATGATTTATAAAAATAACACTTCATTAATTAAGAAAAATAGATTTAAATAGCGAGAAACATGTGAGAAGTAATAAATAGTGCTAAAAAGCTACAAATTGAGTGGCAAACATAAGAATGGTTACTCGTTTAAACAAAAATAGTTTTAGATTATGTTTAGTGTGTGAATGAGAGAGTTTTGAGAGAAAAGAGATAGCTTTAAATGTTTTTGCTAAAATCAAAAATCGAAATCACTTCACAATGATTTGAGATTATATTTATAATTAAATAAAGATGATTTTTTACCGCAATAATCGTGGCATGTTATCTATATTTGAACGGTTAAATTTAAAATGTTTTAACTTATTTAAATAAAGTTGGATTCTTCTAGGTTAAATTGTTTCAACTTATTAATAAAAACTAAATAAAATAATAATTAAGTATTTTTTTAAAAATATCTTATTTCGAGTCCATTAAATCAATCTATCCGATATATTCTAAAGACAATACATAAATATTAAAACCGTTAAAATACTCTTGTCCATTCTTAATATGACGATTAATGAATTTCATATTTAGTCCAATCCATTTGTTTTATAACTTGAATCCATGTCAAAATAATAATAATATGATTCAATACATAATAAAATTAACTAAATTATTTAATTAATTTTATTGGAAAAATGGACCATATATAATTATATTTTCAATTGGACAAGTTGCATTCGGGAAAGACATCAATCATCATTATAAAAGTGTTATACTATAATTGACCTTTAAGTAAAGTTTTTTTTTTTTTCGGTATAATATTCTTCAATCTGTTTTCAGCATCTATATACGAAGGCAATTAAGTTGTAATATATTGTTACAGGTGCTGGAATATTATTTTCAGGTGGCTCTGTTTGTACCATTGATGAAGTGAAAATGAGAGTAACTCAAAGAACGCCGGGTCTTTTCCCTGCTCTTTTTGGCCATGACTTTTGTGGGCCAAGAGGTGTGGTTCTGCTTCTTCCTCATCTTTCCTGTAATAAATCGTAAGTGATTAAATTCACACTTGCCGCTACACATGCTCAAGTAGTACTTTTTTTATTATTATTATCATCTTTTCCCATTCATATCAGGGAAATATGTTACTGGTTTATTAATGACCCAAATATTCGTTGCTTTTTAGGAAAAAAATATAATAATAAAATAAAATTATTGCAACTTGCAAGTTTGGCTTCTCCTTAGTAGCACTGTCAATCACAATCACGATAAAAGTGAGGAATATAATTGTCCAATTAATTTATCAATAGAAATATTAGATAATGAAGGATGGCTGTACTCATATTCCCTATACTTCTCGTTGCGTGCATATTGCATGTCAATTTTAGAACTCATTAGCTTCGCGAAAAGGTAAATTTCTTTTGAACTCTTTAATTTTGATGTAAGTGATTTGTTTGGGCCTAAGCTAGTTAAGTGGATCTAATCTCAAGACGGTCAAATTAGCTAAAAATACCACTTAATTGTAGTTACTAAATAATCATGCATGTTCAAATTTTGTAGCAGAAAATTAACTAAGAAAAAATCATGGTAAAAAAACAGCTCATATGTTACTGTTCTAAGGGATATTAGCACCATGACATTTCGATGTTTAGGCCTGTCAGATGTATAATACGTGTATGTATATGAAGCAGATTTCCTGGAAAGGCAGCATATATAGCTTGTTTTGTTAAAGCAATTGTTTAAAGAAAACAAAAGGATGTCCAGCTTAATATATACATATGCGTTCAAAAAGGGTTTGAAAACAGCTAATAGAATTCTCAGTGCTCCCAAGTTATATATTGTGTGCTGTATTATATGATTAAATAAACAATTTAACAAAATAGACAAACTATCTAAAATGAAATTGCCAAAAAAAAAAGGTTTTTTTTCAACTTTAATAAAGCTCTTCGACATTTTTCTCTTGCTAGAATGGGAGAGTTTTTTGTTTATATACATATATCTAGGAGCTATTTCCTACATGACAAGCAAAACAAATCTTGTAGTGATTATAAAAAACAAAATAATATAAAATCGAGACCTTAATAGATGCCATAGCAGGAAGCAATATGTAGCAAGAAAGGATCCCAGCGCCGCAACCCTCTCTTCATTCTATGTGGGATTTTTTTTTTTGAGCTAATCAAGGAATTAATACGGATTTCAACCATTTTTTTATAGACATGTATTGAATCTAAAATGAGAGAAATCGATTTAATCTTGTAGTGATTATAAAAAACAATACTGGAAAGTATTAAACCTAAAACCTTATAGAGAAAACTAAACAGTTCGTACCTAAGAATTTGATTTGGTTCATGCGGTGAGGAGAAAAACCTTTGATACATGCCATCGGGATCAAGTTTTTGTCATTAACTCTTTTAAGTGTTAGTTGATCACAAAAATTAGAAAAAAAAAATTGAAATAAAAATTAAAAATTTGAAATGATATTTATATTTTCATATTATAGTTAAAATATTAATAAAAAATTTATAACATAACTTAAATTTTTTAATATTTAATTTTTAATACGAATAAAAATAATGATTAAAAAATTAATTTTATAAATTATTATAGTAATAAAAATAATATAGATAATTGTGTTAATAGCGATGGTGATGATGTTATAATAAAAGTGATAATGATGATACAAAAATAATAATTTTATTATTATTATCATTAATAACAACAACAGTGATAGTATGATTAAAATAACAGTTATAATTAAGAAAAAATGATAATAGAATAACGATATAATAATTTTTTATAAAATGGCATGTGTACTCTTTCTAAAAAAAAAAAAAACAAAAAGCTTGTCTGCTCTGCATCCATTCAAAACATACAATTTTCTCTTCTAGCGTATTTGTACAGCCATTTCACTTCACTAATAATAATAATAATGAGAAAAAAAATCCTACATAAATTATGCAAAAATTCCACTATACAAAGGTAAAACGAACAGGAGTTGTCAAAAGTGTCAACAATTGAATAAGCATTTCACGTATTAAATAATCTAATAAATTTAAAGATTAATATTTTTTAATAAATAAATGCTGTAAAATAATTCCCATTTTCTTTTAGTTAGTTTGTTTTTAAATGGCATCCTCCCTTCGCAGTTCGCACTTGCTTAAACATCTCTCCATGGTTCATTTGTTGGCAGAAAATCACACTCTCCAAGACCATTTCCAGTCTCTCTTGCTTCTCCAATTCCAGAAAATTTAACCTTTCAGTCATTATTAATGGAACTCCAATTCCAAAAACACAAAAAAGCAACACTTTAAGGAAATTAAGAGCAAAAAGGAAAGAAAGAAGACCAAGCTGCCTGCTGCATCCTCCTTCCGTTAATAATAATAACAGTAATAGCAAAGAGTATGGACGGAACGTTCGGTCTGTACTCAGCGGTGGCGGACTACTCGGACAAGGCGTTGATGTCCCCGGAGAATCTGATTTTACCATCGGAATACCAGAGCTTGCTGTCTTCAGATACTTTTCGGCTGCGGATTCCGAGTCTTGGATCCGAAGAGCTACTTTCGGAGGCGGCTTCAATCACAACAGAAATTCAAAGAGAAGAAGATATGTCCACTTTGATCAAAGCCAAAATTGCCTCACATCCTTGCTATCCTCGTTTACTCGAGGCTTATATTGATTGCCAGAAGGTGATCATCCAACTAGTACTGAACTCATAGCATTAGCAGCTGTTGAATTATAGTTTTATTATTACATATGTATATGGAAGCTACAAGACCTAGCTACGAGCTACGCAAAGAAAAAAGCTTTAGAAAATTTGTTTTTTTCTGGCAGGTAGGGGCGCCTCCAGAGATAGCGTGCTTCTTAGATGAAATCCGGCGAGAAAACGACCTTTTCAAGCAAGACGCTGTCTCCACGTACTGGGGAGCTGATCCCGAGCTAGACGAGTTCATGGTCCCCTCCCCTCCCCTTCTCTCTCTATATATTTTTATGGGGGGTTTGGATTTTTCTGATCTGCCTCGTGTTTCTTTGTAGGAAACCTACTGTGATGTGTTGGTGAAGTATAAATCTGATCTTGAAAGGCCTTTTGATGAAGCAACCACCTTCTTGAACAAGATTGAAATGCAGCTTCGTAATCTTTGCACTGGTGCCTCCATCAGAAGCCTCTCTGGTCAGTTCTCTCCTTTTTTCTAGGGAAGATCCTTTGATTTTTGCGCTATACTTTGTTTTTCTTTTCTGCGATTGCATTATACGTGCAAATTACAAGCTTGTGATCATTATCGCTGTGTCTCAAGGGTAAATTCGTTTGTTTTCACTCATGATGTTATTAAGACATGAAACCCACATAAGTTTAGCCATGCCTTGCTAGTTCTAGCTAGTCAATTACCTCTTCCTTTTTTTTTCTTTATTATCTGCAACAACTCACTTATCGATGAGAGAAGCATCGATAATGCTTAAAGAACAATCAAAGACTCCGGGTATAGTAATAACATCACAAACAAACAAAACAAACAACAGAAACCCTAGCTAGCTAGACCCTTGTGACTTGTCTTACGTAGCAACTGTTTCCCCTTTCAGTAATTTATACTTCCTTCTTGAATTTATAATCCTAAATGCTTTCTCTCTTTGTGGTAATTTGGGTTTGTTATGATCTTATGTCATATTTCTCTGCCTTGTTTTGAAATGATAGAGTAAGAGGGTTAATGGTTCTGCAGTGATGGACTTTGTAACAGTTTCTGAACCTTTTCTCTTTTCAGTTCATTGTTACAAGAGTTTGAATTTACTAGCATTTTCCTACTCATCTTTTTGTTGTGACTCCTCCTTTTTGATTTCTTTCTCTCTCTTTTTTCCTTCTTCTTATTCCTTCCCTCTCGTTTGTGTCAGAAAAACGAGGCTTCAAAGTAAAAACTTTTGTTTTAGGGATTCTGGATTTGACATTTCAGAGCTCAGTTAACTGATGTAATAAATAGTGGTTTGATAGAATGTGTACAGTGACTCAGTGAGTGTGTTTTTGGAGAACCAAGTTAATGCTTCTAGTCCTATTTTGACCAGCCAATTGACTGTTTGAGATTTTATCTTAGTAAATGGAAGGATGCCATTCTACATCTCTTTGCACTCTTATTGTACGTGGAAGTTGACTTTTTTTTTTTTTTTTTACTAGCATTACTTGATGACTTGATGTGATTAGTTTAATTTAGTTTAGTTGAACTGGTACGGTTTCATTGCTTAGCTGAGAAAAGAGTAAGGAATGTTTGCAGTTAGACATTGTTTTAATGTGGCCTTGTTCTTTGTTGCACCTGTCCATCACTGTTTTACTAAGCATGGTTTTTGAATAAGAAAATCTTAAAAGATGAAAATGAGAGAATTATCTAGCGTATCACCATAAAATCGTAATTGGCTTGAAGTTACTCGATTTTTCTTTCATATGGATATTCCTGAGAAAATAGAACATTCTCAAGTAATATTTTAGCTGAACTTGCCTATGAATATGATCATGAAAGATGGAGTCTTATATGGACAGACAAGAAATTATTCGATGTAGCTTGTGTGCTGGTTTGTGCATATCCAATGGATGATATGCTCCCTTAATTAAGTTGATGAGAATTGCTACTAGTTGATATTTCTATTTATTTACATTCCCTAAATAATTTTTATACGTTTAGATGATGAACTAATGTTGCATTGTATTTGTTTTGCTCATATTTTGTTGGTCAGATTATCTATAATCCAATGTCGTATTGCTAGACTGCTCTGATTTTAATTCCAAGAGCAACAAATGAATTATAGAAGTTTTGATTAAAGGAAAGGCTCATTTTCAATATTCTCGTCTTATGAATTATTTTTCCTTTTGGTGAATTGAAATTCGTCATTTGAGTGGTTGAGTTCCCTTACATTCTAGCCTCTCCTTTCTTTGGTGAGTAAGGCTCCAAGAAAAACACAAATTTATGTTTCTAATTACAAGTATGTTGCATGCTTTGGACCTATGGTTGCAAAATAAATATGTTTGCGTGGTTCCAATGGGAATGTCACTGACTTCTAATGATATCCAGTATGGTCACTTTAAAGAACTTCAAGTTCCAATGGAATATGACTTATATGGATATGGACGGTGGAACTTGAAAAATGAACTTTGGGAATTGTCTAAGAGCTGACTAGCTTTTGTGTCTAAAATGCTGTGCCTCTTACCACGGCTATATCTTTTGGGGAGTTTACATTTCAAGCATAGATAATTGTATAAACCAAAGGTAGTAAATAAGGATATAGAATGATAATATTCTAGTTTTAGAACTCCTTCTGTGTAATTCGTATATGGGCATTTTATTATCCTAATCCTCGTCAACAATAGATTGTGGCATGCAATATGAATCTAATTAATCACATGGGGACAGATGATGACTTTCTATAAGAATTCAGCTTGGGGTTGGATGATGTGCAGACTGCCATTTTGGTTCAATAAGATCAAGTTGTTTTTTGATATTTTAACCCTCCAAACCCTCTTGAAGGCTGTGTAACTTAATTTGAATCCTATTCTTTAATGCCAGAAAAGTAGAAGTAAACCTAGAACAGATTGCACTTGCTTATTGCATTAGTACTTCCCTTGTTTTAAAAAACAGATATCCCTTAATACAGAATGGAATGCACTTTTTTAAGCATCTATTGCCACCGAAAAGCTGACTGATGTTTCCATTTGCACGAGTGGAGGTCATGCAAATGAAATGTGTATTGGAACCTTAGATTCTCAGGATCATTTTCAACTTAAATGTGATAAAGGTTGTGAAATCACCCTTTTCTGGTTGGTATTAGTTGGCAACTGCTATTGTTTTTATTTGAAAGTACAAACTACCTTTTGCGTGATGTTCTAATCATTTCTTCTCTCTCATCTTCTCCTCCCCATGTTTCTTTGTTTCTCTTCTGCGTTGGTGGATTCTCAAATCTTTTAATCTTTCGGAGGACGTTATGTTAGCTAAGATTCTGTAGACATGACACCAGATGTACAATTGGACATTATATCTTGGCATACATTCACGTGCCCAGATTGTGTTAAAGTGCATATCTGCCAGGCTAATATTAACTTTGTGTGAATGTTTCTGCCTTTCGTTGTGTGTTTATGTGTCCATTAGATGCGTTATTTGTTTTGTTTTTTAATCCTTTTACATTAATGATGCCGGCGTGTAGCTTGCTATTACTATTATGTATTGCCTTCATTGCATTTCCAAGTCGATCTTAGATGGAAATGTCCCCCGTGCATTTTGTAATGCCATTTGTTTAATGCAACCTGGAAGTTGCAGATAGCTTTTCTAATAAAAAACTAGAGTCTACTGTATGCTTGGAACTTCAGAAATTTGATAACTTAGTAGTTCGCCCAGATGTCTTCCAAAGTTACTTTTTCTCGGAAAATTTATTTGGCTATCTGCACGGCTTTGCTGCAATTTGAAATTTGCAATCAATAAAGACTTAAGACAAGCATTTTTCTGAGACAAATTGTTGATGCTTTTACCCACATTAATGTCCCCAGGCATGTGCTTTTCCTACATTAATTACCATGCTCTTTGCCTTAGCGCTAGGCTCGCTTGCTTAGCAGTCTTGTCAAAAGGGTTGATGCTAATACAGTATCCCTTGAGGATCAGACAGAATGCTTGTGTCCGTATGTCCATTCTTTGTTTCAAAAGGGTTCTGCTTGAATATACATGTTGGAATATAGAAGATTAAATTTTTAAAGTTTATGCATCTGCGTATCTATTTATGACTCATGAATGCTATCGCTAGCTAGCATATCTATTGTACGTGCTTAATAAATACTCTCTGACTTAAAAATAGTTTATTTTAATTTTTCACGTAGTTTTAAAAAATTATTAATTGTTATCTTATATTAATATATTTTATTTATATTTTTTTAAAATACTTTTTTGTTAAAATTATTATTTATCAAATTTAATCATACATCACATAAAATCGATATTAATTTAAAGAGATAAGCCATCCAAAATTAAAGGAGTAAATTAAAATAAAAAATAACTATTAAGTCAGTTAAATGATTATGAAAAAATAATATGTTAATAGGAATATTTTAATCTTAAAATTTTAAAAAGTAATAAAGTTTTTATGAGGATGATTTTTTTAATGTAAAATTAACTTTTTTAATTTTTCTTATGTTACAGGCATTTTTATGTATAAAAAAAAGTATTAGAAACATTGGTTTTTTTGTTTTATTAATGTAAACTTTAAAAAAAGAAAGAAAGGATTATTTTTTTGTTAATTAAAAATATATTATTTAAAATTTTAATCAAACAAATATATATAAATAAAAATACCACAATTTTTTTTTTTTTTGGGAACAAATGGGTTGCGTGTTATAAACGTTGGCGATGGCAGGATGAGTGAATATTTAAGGCGGTGCTCCCTCAGAAAAAAAAAAACCTGTTTTGATAGCATAGCGTAGGCACAGCATGCATGTAGCCATATAGTTCTTGACTGGCTGAGAGGGAGAGAGAGGAGAGTCTGTGTTTGCTGTTATCTAGTTGCTGGTAACGCAGTGCTAATGTGGGGTAGAAACTAGTAGTGGTATAGTAGTAGAAGTAATAAGTGGGTAAATGTGGGGTAAGTCTAATTATGAAGACTGCTTTTATGGGCCTTTTTTGCCCGGGGAGAGCGGGTGGTCGGAGTTCACATGGGACTCCCGCAGATTTCGCTGCGAATCCACCAGCTTTTTCATCATTGAATGCCCATCTCTGCTTGTCTTGCCTCTACTCTACCACTGCTCCTGCTCCCAATTTCTGCATCTGTATGCATGTTTGGATGGTATTAGTGGTTGTCATTTCCACGGGTATTTGTTTCTTTGTGCGTCTTGATGTGCTTAACACGTGTTTTAGTCTTTAGCTCGGAACTTGGGGTTGGGTTGGGGGTCCCAACTCCCAGTGGTGCATGGCAGTGGAATTTCTATCCTTCAACTTTCCCCCTCTTTGGCCCACTCCTTGGAAAGGGTTAGGCTTCTTTCCAGGGAGTTCTCTCCTACCACTACCTACTTAACTGTCGTTGTCTACAATTTTTTTTTCTTTCTTTCTTTGTACAACTCTAGTTCTAATGGTGAGAGTTCAAGGTGATCTGATCGAAAAGAAAAATAATTAATCCATGACTTTATGGAATTGTGAGGGAGTCGTGGAGTCGTGTGTCTTTATATATATATATATATATATATAGTGATGATTGAGGAGGAATTAATGACTTGTTTGATTATAAATAAAGAAACAAAACCTATCCTATAACTCAGTAGGCTATTATTCTTTGATTATCAAGAAAACATTGTCATACTATTCTTCGCCTTGGATGTAGTATAGCTCTATTTCTAGGGTTATCTTTTGTTGGTTAGGTCTGGGTCCATCCATATCTGGCATTATTAAGCTGGGCGAGTTTAGAATGAATAATAAAATGGGTTTTTATCTGGGTCCATTGGTTTCACCGATATGGGGCATTGTAGTAAATTGAAATCACCTAAAAAGCAAGGAATCTCGTGAAAGTTGATTAGGCTACTGGGTGATTGATACAGTGACTTCAAATTAATGATTATTTCACCCCTTTTTTTATGTGAAAAATCAATTAAAATGTTCTTTTTTGCGTAATTTAATAACAAAATTTTAAGTCGTGAAAAAAAAAAAGAAAAAAAGAAAACCCGACACATTTTCTGTTCTCAAATATCAAAAGATTGTTGTTTAAAATCCTCTCTCTCTCTCTCCAGTCTTTTCTGAAAGTGTGATTTGATGGGCGTACCATCTTGTCTGCTGTGAGACTCTGCCTCTCCCTGACAAACGATATAACTCAACGAAATGCACCCAGGCTGTGTATGGACAACTTCACCCATTACTTTTAACTATTTTAACTCAGGGAAAAGTGACCCCCCTGGGCCCTGGTGTAGTTGCATGAAACTGACATGCTTTGTTTTTCCCTTTTCTTTTTTCCTTGACTGCATGTAATATACATAAACCTGTCATTAAGAAAATACATGGGTAATACCATATTTGCTTGATATATAATGATATTGTTTTTATGAATGATTACTATGCATAAAATCATGATTCTATTTATTTATAAAAAGAAACAGTCTTGATTTTATTTTTATTTCTGTATGTATCATATTGAAATTGTAAATTTTTATTGAATTACCCAAATATAAGTTTTTAGAGAAGGGATTTAGTGATGTGGAAATAAGATAAATTGTTATACAATCATTGCTACAAACGGTGAACATTTTTCTTGTTGAATAAATTGACAATTTTCATTATCAAGCATGGTATTTATGTGAATGAGCGTGGGCATACTTATACTCACCCAAAAATAAAAATAAAAATAAATGTAGTATACAATTAAAACCAAGCGTCTTTTTTTTACTAATAAGTCATTAATTATACATTATTCAAACTTTCGTGATTGCTTAGATTGGATTGCCATTGGTAGCTATTTGAATTTGTCAACAAAAACACTAAATAAAAATTTAAATATTGCTAATCTATGTATCATAAGAAACATAAGCTAAAAATAATATTAATGATTATGTCTGTTCCTAGGAAAAATAGTTATGATTATGTTTATAGGCGATATAGGTGAGGATAACATTGTTATGGCTTTAAGTTTTTTTTTTTCTCCTATCCGAGAGAGTAATCTAAAAAATAAACAGATTAATTGAGTCACTTAAGTATGTGTTTGGCAATATGATGCATGTGTTTTTATAAAAATATAGTTGGATTGAAAAATATTAAATTGATGCTTCTTCCGATAGCTTTACATGTTTGACATATATATTAAAAAAAAGCATAAAATGATGTTTTTTCAGTCCAATTACTTTTTGAAAAATGCATTACCAAAGACTCTCTAAATAGACACCACGCGTCCATCTTATGCACCAGTCTTCTTTATTTAACGGTCAAATCTCCTCGCTTGCTAGGGTTGACAAAGTGGCTTATGTGGGTTATTTTGTCACCTATGTGTTTTTTTTGGCCTTTTGATTAGGCGGTAATGGTATTTTTGGGCTTGGATCTAGTTTCAAGGTTTAAACTTAGAAAATTAAAAGAGGAAATAAATTTTGTTAACCATCAAGAGAATTCCTTGAGATTCTCACCTACCTAGTTTGCCAAAACAAAAAGAAGTTATATATGTAGGCGTAACCTTTTCTTCTTTTACGCACGAATGTTTCTGCGGACCACAATTTATTTCAATGCAAAGTGTATTTTCAATCAATTGTCAAGTAGATCATCCACATAATGATATATCTATAAGAAATTATTTTTTATAAATCTCTTTTTTTTAAAGGATAATATAAATAATATTTTGATGTCTTGTTTGAAAGTATATAAGTTGTTGGACATGAGATTGTTTTTTTAATATAATATTAGTTTTTTAACGAGCAACAAGTTCGAATTTCATTAGTGTCATTTTAAATAATTAGAGAGTAATATAAATTAAATCTTGATGTTTTATCTGAAAAATTTAAATTTGTATATCAATCTGGAGACTCCTCTAATAATTTAAAATTTAAAATTGAAATGATTTGTTTGATTTCAATTTAAATTTTTGAATTAAAATGATTTATTTATTTATTTATTTATTTTACTGCCAACCTTAAAGTACTATTATTGGAGATTAATGAATTCATCAGTTTGTTAATATTTGGAATTTGATTTTTTTCTTCCAGAAGTGTAGTTTATTTAATGGTTTGTTAGGATGGCTTGAGTGCCATTGCTGCTTCATTTGGTAATTGAAACACCTTTCCAAAGTCGCTTGATACCTAATAAATTTTATGGTGTTACGAAAATTTGCTCTCTTAAATTTTTTATTTTGAATCTCGAGATCAATATTTAAATAAATTTATTTTTTAAATACATTAAATCAATATAGGAAATGCATTTTTAAAATTATTTGAGGACAAAACTTAGTCTCTACTGACATATAAATTAGCTTGAAAGCATCCTTTATCGACAAAAAAAAAAAAATCTTACAGTGTTCATGCATGTTATTGGATTTCATGCGCTTAAATTGTTTTTCAAGCAATTATTAATGAACTTACATACATTTGTCTTTCTTTGCTTTGCCTCTTCATATATATTTTTAAATGAGTTCATCAGCTAGTTTAGTTGTACTTGGACTCTGTTAACATTATTGTTGTTAATCAATAACGAATATATGCTTTCCTTCTATGAAAGTGTTCGAGTAACCTTTTTAACATAATCAAGCATGTCCGAATTCCTATGTTCCTGTTCATAAGCAATGATAGCGTCCTTTAAGAAAGTAAGATTGAAACCTGCACTGTTATTGTTCTTGGATGGTATAATGGGATGTTCAATTGCTTGAGTTATTCTTCTCTAGGACTAGGAGGCTAGTTTTGATGATAGAAATGATGAATCTCTCAGGTAACGTTTCTTTCTAGAGGGGTGGGTAAGGTTACTAGTTTTAAACTGAAATTTACATCAAATCAATCCAATTAAGTCTTAGTTCTTCACTAATTGAATTTGACCATATAGATTTTCCTTTGCCAGTTATTTTTAAAATGAATTGAACTTGCTATAACTTTGAATTCATGAAATGTTATTGTGATCTTCAAATAGCCTGTTTGTAAGTTGCATATCTTAGGAATTCATTGTTTTAAATATGGTTTTCTTATATGCCAATTTCGATTGATAGTGACCCGCTGTTGAGATTTGAATTTAATGCAGTGATTTCTAATAAAAAATTAGATGCATTGCCTTTGCCTTCCGAAAAAGTGAACTTGGTCTATATAATCATATCGTTGCAGCAGAAAATATATAGTTAAGCAAGTAGCTGCTGTGAATTTTGATATTTGTTCAAAATAATATATAATCTGTGTACCTGTGGAGCTTTGCATTGACCAGGCAAAAAGAAAGATAGAAAGAAAGAATGTATGTTGTTCATTCTATTTAATTTGTGCATGCATAAGCCATTTAAGGATTTCACGAAATCATTTGTGTAGATGAAGGTGCACCATCATCAGATGAGGAGTTAAGCGGAGGGGACTTGGATATACATGAAGCTCAACCAAGTGGTGAAGACCGACAGGTTAAAGATAAACTTCTCCGTAGGTTTGGAAGTCATATTGGTACGCTGAAGATGGAGTTCTCAAAGAAGAAAAAGAAGGGAAAGCTACCAAAGGAAGCTAGGCAAACCCTACTTGGATGGTGGAATGTTCACTATAAATGGCCATATCCAACTGTGCGTATCTCTCTTCTTGGCTGCATATATTTTAGTTTTATGTTAAAATCTGCAAGTTGTCTGGTTCTGATTTCTGATGCATAGGATGTTATCCAACTTGCAAACTTATTTTCTAGGTATGAAACTGACAAGGGTAGCACATGTTTTGTACTAGAACTGCCAGTTTGGGGAATACACCATGGGTAACTGAACTAAGGCATAAGAGATCGTTCAGTAGGACTGGGAAATACCATATTAGAGCATCAAAGGAGAAAAACCATATTGTTGAGGCTGAAAAATGAGTTTTAGTTCTTACAAACTAGTTACAGAACAGATAGGTCTTATTGCACATGTTGCTTTACCTATCTAGATGTTTCATTAGCTGCTGGTTGCTATGTATTCTATGAATTTGTGCAGGCAGGATTTAAGTTATACCCAAAGTTAAACGCTGGTAAGAATAATAATTTTTCTTGCTTAATCATCCAGGAAGCTGATAAGATAGCATTGGCTGAATCAACGGGACTAGATCAGAAGCAAATTAACAATTGGTTTATAAATCAACGTAAGCGCCACTGGAAACCTTCCGAGAACCTGCAATTTGCTGTTACGGATAATCTTTCTGGGCAGTTCTATACGGAAGATGACTAAGTTTCATGTACATTCTAGAATGTCTTCTGATATTTCTACAGGCTTCATGTACACTAAGCAATGCAACATTGCTGGCATTAGAAAGCTTATCTTTAGAAAAAATGAAAAGGAAGGGGGGAAAGACTACTGTGTTTTGCATCATGTATATCGCATTAATGTTGACGATCAATGCTTACATAGTTTGGACGAATAATCTACTCATTATTCTTGGTTTTATATATATATATATTTTTTCCGGAGATGTGTAATCTTGGAGATCTATTATGATTGTTTTAGCTAGTGAGCTGAGGATTTGCTTATATAAATGAAATTTTGAAGTCAATTAATTTGTTATGCCTGCCACTCAACATCATATGGAAATTCTATTTGAAGTCAAAACCTCTGAACTGTAAGCCTGCAGGAGGAAAATGCGTTGTTCTCTTAAGCGCATTTGGTATGAAATATATGCTTTGGCAATTTTTCTTCTTGAACAAAGAATGCCACTATTTGATTGGTTGCAAATACGTGATAGAGCACTATATTCGGATGCTAGAACCTCAAATCAAGAAATTACTAGAATTTCAAATAAAAAAGATTGAGCTGTATAAACTTTTCTAATTGTGTATATTCTTTGTAATCTTAGTATTTATTAGCTTGATATTGCTTCCTAATCTTTGTATTAATTAGCTGGATATTACTTTCTGTTATAGCATATAGAATTTTGTATTTATATTTCATGTTTTCTGTTAATAAAATATCGTTCATACAATAAAATCGTTATGATATCTAACACATTTTCTATCATAGATTAGTGATGTTTCTTCTCAAAATTCCTTCAAACCTATTGTCCCTTTCTACCTCTGCTACTAAAAACGATAGCTGATCCAACATCCTCACACACTCGGCTACAACTTCTAAAGATTCAACAACACTTCTCAATTCTGCAAATCTATTAATTCAATGTAACATTATTTCCTTCTATAGAAATTTAATTTTCATCAATGCTTCATCTCAGATTCCATTGAAACTCTCGAAAGATCATGAAGTCCTAAATGGCTAATATTTTATTTGTGTAATGCTTGTCGATCTAGTCACCTCATTTGAAGAGTCAAGATCCATGAGTTGTTATTAAAACTTATATTCTTTTTATTTTTTAAAAAATTAAGTTCCTTATTTAATTTTATTTATCTTTAAATATGTTAATTTAAAATATATAATTAATAATATATAATCATAAGATTTTTTTATTAACATAGCGGAAACGTTATTTTAAAATTTCATCATTTATAAAACATTTTTCATCATAATTAACATTTCTAAATAATCTTATCCCAATATTCATACTCAAATTCTAATTGAAAATTTTCAACATTCATAAGTTTAACATCATTACATTTATTATTTTAAAAATAAATATTCATTTAAAGCATAACCTAATTGTTAGGAATACGTAAAGGGAAACACACGAGTCGATGGTCACCGAAGCAGCATCAACATTCTCAACATTTGCATAATTACCTACACTACGGAACGAACGTGAGATATGAATATCCCAATAAGTATAATATGCATGATTTTACATTAAAACTTTTTATACATGAATGTCTTTAAAGTTCTTTTCCTCATTTGGGCCCTCTATAAGATATTAACACCGGTTAGCAGGATCTAACATCAATAAAAACATGCATAAAAACATTAAACTCATCATTTAACAACCAAACATTAACCTTTAAACCTCAATGTTTATGCCTTGATAGGTAACCTCAACCTTTAAACCTCAATATACATTAAAAAAATAACCTCATTTGTTTACTAAAAAATTTTTCTTTCAATCAACATGTAAAATATATGCATGCGTATGAATGTATCTTAAGACCATCACATCACGTTACATCACATCAATCACATAAAAATACATAGCATTTACTTCCATAGTGTAGGTGAGTTACACTTACTTGATTTGCTTAAGATCGTCGTTTATCGTAATCTTTCTCTAAAAATCGGTACCTCGACTTGATTCAAACCTTGAACGTACACACCATATAACATAAGAAATTAAATATTATTTATTTATCTCTAATCATTTAATTTTTTTATTAATTCCTATTCTTTTCTTGTAATTTCTTTTAAATTTAAAATCTTAATTAAATCATCAACTCTACTCTAACTTATTCAATTCTTTTCTAATTATATTCATATAAACTTTAACTTAACCTTTTAAATACACTTAATCATCAAATATTTTAATAAAAATTTAAGATTTTAATACTAAAATGAAATTTTTACATAGTCAATCCTAAATTATGAAATTTCAAACTCAATTCTACTTAAGATCATATATAAACAAATAATTAAATTAAATATTTTTCTTACCTTAAATACTCGAATCTCCAAGACTTGAATCTTCTTTCAAATACCTTTGACTTCACTTCTTACTCAATTATATTCTCTCTCTCTTTGAAATGTAAGCTTATGAAATGACTTTTCTAAATGAGGAGAATAACACCCAATATATAGGCATGGGAGTTGAAACATTTAGAAATTTTAAGTGCATGAATTAAAAGTAATAAAAAACCACTAACTTTCTTCTTTTATGACCACTTTCTTTAATGGCCACTAACCTTCTTCTCTTATGACCACTAACCTTCTTCCTAAATGAGGAGAATGACACCCTACATATAGGCATGAGGAGTTGAAATATTTAAGAATTTTAAGTGCATGAATTAAAATTAATAAAAGACCACTAACTTTCTTTTTTTATGGCCATTAAGTGGCTTTCTTTCATAACCACTTTCTTTTCTTTCATGACCACTAATCTTCTTCTTTTATGGCCACTTTTTTTTCTTCCATGGCCATTCATGTCTCCTCTTTAATTTTAATATATGTTTCAAAACTTTTGCTCTTCTTTCAAAGCCACTAACATTCCTTTTAAAAGCTAGTAAAACTTATTATTATTTCATTATTATTTTATTAATTATTATCACTACTTTAATCATTTAATTCCTAATAACTTAGGCCAAGATTATAGGATTAATTCCTATCTATAAAAATATTACCTACAATACCCAAAAATATATATAGTATATCCTAAAACTATATACCTAATCATCACGTCATCTAAACACATAAAAATATTAAATTACATACACAAATAAAGCACCTATACACACATATATATACCATATATTATCATGCAAAATATTTGGGTATTACAATTTGGCTATGGCTTGTTCGAGCATGTTGATGGCACTCTATCCTTTTCATTCAATATTGATCCAACCTATCTTTTTTATTTCGTCGGGACCATCTAGAGTTATTGGAAATTCAAGCTACTGCGTATATCACAATTAGCCACAACATCAACAATTATAGCAACTCTACGAAAGCATGGAAAAAGTTGCAAAAATAGTTATGCTAGTCATTCCAACACTCGTATGTTTTCTCTCTTATCTACCGTTATATTTTACAAAAAGGATGGCAAATCGGTGGCCACTTATATGATCGAATTTAAAATTTTTTTTGATGATTTTACTCTTATTGGCATTTCTTTGAGTGATGTTGAAATCATTGCTCATACTCTAAGTGGCCTTGGTGACGAGTTCAAAAAAATAATAGTTGTAATTCGAGTTTGCGATACATTTATCTCATTTAAGGACCCGACAAACTCTTTGATGAGAAAATTAGACAAAATTAAGGTAAATAGATAAAGAAAGATGACATTCGAATTACTATTGAGTTTGCTCAATAATGAAACAATAATTACAATGGTCGAAATGGTAAGGCACATGCTAAGGATCCAAATTTTCATCTCATTTAATTGGTAACCTAGTTCAACCCAAGATGCTACCATAATTCAAAAGCCAATTAGGCCCCCACTAGTTCCGGTCAAGCACCTATGAAAATTCCTCATAAGGGAATGATTTCAATTTGTTATTTCAACTTTCTTTACCATCTTAGAACTCCAATCCTTATTAGTGGACACCCCGAACTATTTTCCAATGCTCGTGATAAGTTTGGCCACGAGTGTTGAGACATGCCACACTCATGCTTCATTATCTTCTCATTTCAAACAACTATAAGCTCATTAATTAGTGGAAATTTCAACAATTCTAAAAACAATTGGGTCCTCGATATGATGAGAGTTACCCAAGACATCACATATAACCTTCAAAATCTATAGATGCACTCAAACTATATTGGCAATGAAGACATTATTGTTGGTGATGGTAATAGAATTCCTATCTCTCATACTAGTTCATCTACTATTCATTTATTCCTTACCTTCTTTCCATTGATAATATTTTATGTGCACTTTTCATTCAAAAAAAGTTCATCTCTATATATAAATTTTGCAAGACCAATAACACTTTATCGAATTCTTTCCTAATTTTTTCTTGTAAAGGATTTGACCCCCGAGGCATCCATGGCCCAAGGTTAAAGTAGAAATGATTTGTATAAATGGTCATCCAAGAACTTGCCACATGCATCCTCTTTATCTAGATTAATCACATCCTCATCAAAGCTATGACAACAACGGCATGGTCATCCATCATCATTCGCCATAAAATTTTAGTCTTCGATCTTAATAGTAATAGTAATAGTCCATGTGATTCTTGCTTATGTAAAAAAAAGTCAAAACAATTCTTTAGAAACTCCTCTATTACTTGTAATATACCTTTTCATATACTCTATTATGAAGTTTAGTGGTCCCACCCCTATTATTTCATTCGAAAATTTTTGATATTATGTTATTTTTGTTAGTTATTATACTAAATACACTTGGCTATATCCCCTTAAGTTGAAGTTTGAGTTTTTAGTGTTTTTGAAAATTTCTTTTAGACTTCTATTCGGACCATTTACATCGATGCTAAAGAAGAATTTCAAGCTCTTTCACATCCTTTTGTCAAACATGTAATTCAACACTTTACCTTACCACCATATACTCCCGAACATGTGAAAGAAATGGAGAAGTGGCGTAGTGGAAGTTTGAGGAATTTTAAAAATTCCTAACCAAGACATTT